ATTTCACAGTCATTATCTATTTCATCAATCAACTAAAAAAGAATTATCATCAGAATTTACATAATCTTTTGCTATCCCAATGTTTTTCTCCATAATCCAGTAATAACCTGTAAGTTTACCTTGTAAATTAGCAAGCCAATATCGAAGATATTGACAGCGAAATATAACGTTATTTGGTGATTTGTGTAAAAATATTCCTTCTTTCACCCCGACCACGTAGCCTAAACTGTGTAGCATACGAAGAAGCTGCCACTTAGAAACTATATGTCCTTTTCTGAAAGAAACTGTCGTATTACCGCCGTAGATAGGGGTCATCCTGTCTGGTCAAATCTCCGGTCGGCCAATGATCTTATGTGGTGTAAAAGATCCGCCATTACACTTGTTCCAATCTTGAATAACCCTCCCAACAGTACTTTCTGAAATTCCCAATACCACAGCAATACGCTTGCGTAGTGTGAGCTTCTGATTACGTTTATTGACGGAGGTAGAATCAGAAAAATATTTATAAGCACTAACGATCATTTTTTTTTTCATTCCCCGCCCGTCAAGGGCGAACAGCGTTGCGTTGCTTATCAATCGCTGGAAACATCGTAGATAGATCAAAGTATGCAGAATGATAGATATAGTATTACTTTATTATATACACGTTGATCGATTTGGTGAAACAAAATTTTTGCTAGTAGCGATTGAAACCTCTTATATTGAAGTATCTACATTTACATAGTGACGAGATTTACATATGACATACTATATATACTACATTGAATTATTTGTGGCAAGTAAACAGTTGATTTCAAAACTATCAGTAAACATTAAACAAACTTGTGTGTGTGTTATAGTTATGGCAATGGCAAAAAATTTACAATCAAAATAAATAGCTCATGATATGACTATATTAAGAATAAATTAATCTTCCTTCCATCATATTAATATATATAATAGACTTGCTCTGAAAAATAATTATTTGCTGTGACATCTATTAATATTAATACATTATTATTTGAAAATAGCAAGTATGGTAACAGAAAGCTTATGATTATGATACAGAAATCATATAATTGTGATTATTGTGTGAACCAATGTTTAATCATTGCTCCTATACTAATACCTTTTCTCCTTTTAAGGTAACTCTGTGTAGCAACAAATCCTTGTTCAGCTGCTTTTTGATATAGTTCACCTGCCTTCTTAGCATCTTTTTCTACTCCGTTTCCATGTTCATAGCAATAACCAAGACTATACTGTGCAGCAGCATATTCCTGCTCAATTGTCTTAACATCATTTTCTACTCCAATTCCATCAGCAAATCCCTGCTCAACTGCATCATTTTCTACTCCAATTCCATCATAATAGTAATAACCAAGATTATACTGTGCAGCAACATATCCCTGCTCAACTGCTTTTTGATATAGTTCATCTGCCTTCTTAGCATCTTTTTCTACTCCAATTCCATGATAATAGCAATAACCAAGACTATACTGTGCAGCAGCAAATTCCTGCCCAGCTGCCTTTTGATATAGTTCAACTGTCTTCTGAGCATCTTTTTCTACACCAATTCCATCATAATAGCAAGTGCCAAGATTATACTGTGCAGCAGCAAATCCCTGCCCAGCTGCCTTTCGATATAGTTCAACTGCCTTCTTAACATCTTTTTCTACTCCAATTCCATCATGATAGCAATAACCAAGAGTATACTGTGCAGCAGCAAATCCCTGCCCAGCTGCCTTTTGATATAGTTCAACTGTCTTCTGAGCATCTTTTTCTACACCAATTCCATCATAATAGCAAGTGCCAAGATTATACTGTGCAGCAGCATATTCCTGCTTAACTGCCTTTTGATATAGTTCAACTGCCTTCTTAACATCTCTTTCTACCCCAATTCCACCATGATAGCAAGTGCCAAGATTGGTCTGTGCAGCAGCATATCCCTGCCCAGCTGCCTTTTGATATAGTTCAACTGTCTTCTGAGCATCTTTTTCTACTCCAATTCCATCATAATAGCAAGTGCCAAGATTATATTGTGCAGCAGCATAGCCAGTTTCTGCTGACAATTCATACCAATGGATTGCTTGATTGATATTCTTTTCAACTGTTATTCCATATTCATGAAAAAAGCCAAGTAACCAAAAACATTGCCTGCAATCAACATGGTCTTTGAGCCTTTTAATAGGAAGGTAATGCTCTTGATACCATCCATTCTGCACTAACCAGTTTTTAATTGACTTAGCAATCTGTTCTAGACTTCTTCCTTTTAATAACCCTTCCTCATATATACTTGACAACTCATCAGCAAATAGATGGTTTGAAGTTATTGTTGTTTGAGCTATCATGCTTAATCTATTAAATATCTGCTCACAAGATGGTCGTTTTTCAGGAGCATCATCCCAACACTCTGAATACAATGTGATATATTCTTCTGGAGTTCCTAATACTGGAGCATCTCGACCACCATTTAGTCTGTAAGTTATAATATCACGGTCATACTGGAGCCCATTACACGGTCGTTTTCCGCCAGAGATTTCCCATAGGACTACTCCAAAACTGAATATATCTGACTTTTCATCACGCTTAGTAGAAGCATCACATATGCATCTGGGGTCAAGATATGGAAGGCTTCCTTGAATGTTTGAACGACTTTTTTGTTGTAAAATCAGGTCTGACAAGCCGAAATCCGTTATCTTCGCCACGCCGGCATGAATCAATATATTCTGAGAAGACTAAATAATAAAGTTATCAATTATTATAATACATTCTAAACGTAGTATCTTTACTATAATTACCATACCAAATCTTTGTGTAAAATACACCGATCGTGAAGATGCTTCAGACCGTTAATGATATTGATCCCAAGTTTGCATCTCGTAGGCCAGTCCAGGTCAACGGATGTGTCCGATAAGTAAGATCGTAATGAACCACTGTCGGCGTACTTGAAGACCATTACATATCTATTCATTGTATCTATTGATAAAGTTTCTGTTAATGTCATATATTATAGCGTGCGTGCGATTACTCAATGCCTACCTCTGCTCACTCCGAGAAATCGGATTATGTTGGGATGATCATCAACATGGCGATGGATTTTAAGCTAAAAGTATTGTTTAGATAGTTTAAGTAAAGAAGTAATAATCAAAATATAAGCGACATTATAATTACCAACCTCCTTGACAAAGTTTTCAATCTCATCTTCATTGTCTGAACGCAGGAGTTTGTATGCCACCGTTCTACCAAGTGTCTTCATTTTCGCTTTGAAAACTACTCCATATCCTCCGCCACCGATGTATATCGGGTCAATAAAGTCATCGAAAGAATAAAACCGGATATTTCGGTCTTCGATATTTTTCCTTAACCATTCTTTATCGGATTGACTTGAGGCCATGTTTGTTAATATTAACGTTATTACGATCGATCCTTCACTTCCGTAAGCAGTGTGACCAATTGCACGCACGTGATAGACACTTGTTGCACTAAGGGGAAGGTTATTTCCAAATTAGAAAAGCGTACTCAAAAAAAATTCTATTCATTGTGTTATATCCTTTTAGGACGCGATCTGGGAAAGATCCTTTCCCTCTTCCCTACAAACATCAGCTGTACTACCACGGCTACTGTTACGTCATCGAAAGGAAAGGCGATGTTAAATGTTGACTTTTAAGATCGGACAACGGAACCGGTTAATTAATTAACTTATCGTATTTCGTAAATATATGGTTCATAAACTATATCGCGGATAAGCTTACGACATATTCTTCCATTTATAATGTATGCTTTTCGGACCATTGAAAATTCTTCATTTAGTAACTTTATTGCTACTGTGAACGGCAATGTCTATAGTATATTATCATATCTAATATTGCTATATAATTTGTTATCGTTATGTACAATACCGAATATTCTGTGGCTTGTGTAACTTGATAGACACTATATTTTTTTGTTTCTTTGTGTAAAGCTACGTTTACAGTATATAATTTAGATACTTTAGTTTAACGTAAACAAATTAGTAAAATAATTAATACTCTATATTTAATTCTTACAAGTAGCGCAAAGGCTTTTTACAAGAGAACATGCTTTAGACAAGTAGAGTATACACTGTGTTACTATTACGAAAAAATGTAAAAGCTCTTCGAACGTGTATATTTTATGTAAACAATTGTGATTGTTTTGAACATTCAAACCTTTGTCTTGCTTAATCTCAAATATTTCAATCAAGTTTGAAGGCGTACTTTTCAACAAATTTGCATACAGTAAGTAAGCACTTTCCTTGCACAGTTCCCGGATTTAAATCTAGGCAACAGCTTGCTAACTGTGAGACTGATCCACATACTATTATGGGCTGCCTGGAACGTAAAGACAATGTTTTAATGTAATTGCTTTTATATTTAATTACTAGCGTATTAGTTATGTTGGCTCTTACTAATACGAAGTAAAGAATATTTTCCACTTTATATGATTAACCTTTAGTAATACAAAAGTATAAGAAAGTTGCGTATTGTGGAGAGAGTCACTATGATTATAAGGAAAGTTATCTTTATTTGAATGGACAGGGGTCTTTTCTTTTTTTTTATCTAATCTTTGAGCAAACCTCAATCTCCGTTATAATCAATAAAATAATATGTAATTAAAGTAATTGAAATAAGAATTGGCATTATCAGTGCTTACGGGTTGTTGATGCAGAGTCTCTAAAGCGCGACGATCAGCCAGTGAAATATGTGTAGATCATTTATATTATTTCTTGATCTGTCCCGTCCATTATTTCGCCGCCATGACAACAATGAACAATAACCAAGATTCTAATAACAATAAAACACCTTCGTTTAGTACGTTAGTCAACTGCCTCAGACGCATTAATCAAGCGAAATCTTCGGATAAGAAAGCATATTTGCAACGCTACATTGAGGTAACTGAAACATAACTGCGCAAATTCAACAATTTACAACTGCGCGCGCGTAACAACCAATTTCAATAAACAGGATTGGCGAAAAGTTGGATTCGGGAGCTTTTACCCCGCAATGCGTCTGTTGGTTCCTCACGTGAGTAGTTTTACTGATTCAAAGGACTCGATCCCACAATCTTGCAAGCGTTAATTCTGCGTAAAAGCTTGATTCCGAAAGGGCATACGATCTCAAGGAAGTACGATTGGCGAATGCGTACATTAGGGCTTTCTCGCTAACAAGGTCTTCTCCTGATGCACAAAGACTTGTTAATTGGACCAAGCCAAAGTTTACCGGAAGGGTATGACTATGAGCATTTTTAATTAAAGTCTTTCTCCCAATTGCTTCTTAAGTATTTAATGTTTACCCATGTCACTAACCAATAGAAGTGGGGATCCGTTCAAGCAGTTGGAGATTTTGCTTCCATTGCGGCCGAAGTCATATCTGTTCGATCAGTGGTAACAAAGTCTAAAGGGCTATCGATTGATTTTGTTAACGAGAATCTCCGCGAATTGAGCGACGCAGCAAGCTTGTACGTGTCTTTACCAGTCTTTCTTGTACCGTTTAATTAATATTAACTTCTAACATTGCCATAGTGATGAGGCTGTTAAAGTAATCAAGGGTTTTCTGAATAACTATACTGCTGAGGAACAAAAGTGGTTGATCAAAATAATATTGAAAGACTTGAAAGTCGGTCTCAGTGAAGACTCTATTCTCGCAGTATACCATCCTGATGCACGAAATGTGTTTAATAGATGTAATAACCTGCAGAAAGTGACTGATGAATTGACTGATCCACACAAACGTGTAACAAACTTTGTATGTTTGCATTTTTATTTTCATGCGTTATTCTATAAGCTTATTGTCAAAGGCACTGTATATGTATACTTAATCCGTGAATGTTGCTTGTTCCTAGGAAATCACGTTATTCAACCCAATACGGCCAATGCTTGCTAAGCGACTAGATATTGGTGAAATTCCAAAGGCTTTGGGTGGCAAGACATTTTGGATGGAGGAAAAATTAGATGGGGAACGAATACAATTACACAAGGCGGGCGATAAGTTTGCATACTATTCTAGGTAACTAACCGCGGTTCTGTATTTGTTGATGCTCTTTGCCGTGTAGATCGGACTGATGAATCTATGTCACTCGTTGTGTGCTTTTATTTATAGGCGAGCGATAGACTACACACATTTGTACGGAGAATCAAAGGATGAGGGCTCTCTTACTCCATACATATACAACCTCTTTAATCATACAGATAGGTAATAGATTTATCTTACTATAACGCGCCTTTCGTTTTACCTAATCACAATCCGTTCTCACAACCACTCAGCTGTATTTTAGATGGCGAGATGTTGGCCTATAACCCGATATACGATGCCTTTATGCAATTCGGGACACTCAAAACGGCAGCAAGTGACATGTTCGATGACCCTGAAAAACCTCGCCCATGCTTTGTTGTGTTTGACGTAATCTTGCTCAATAACAAGCCACTAAACAAGCAGAAATATTCGAAACGTCGCGAAATACTAAATAGGATGATTAATCCTCTGCGTGGTCATCTGCAGCTAATGCCTTACAAAGAAGGGAAAGATAAGAAAGATTTGCTGAAAGCGTTGGAGTTTTCAATTCAAGACGGGTGAGATAAGAAATTTTTGATTAACGAAATTATTTCGTATCAGGCGTTAATACATATTGTACCTACATATTGTACCTTTTCAGGCAAGAAGGATTTATTGTAAAGAACCCTGAAAGTCCTTATCAGTTTGACACGCGGTGTTCCGACTGGATTAAGCTGAAGGCTGACTATTTTGATGGATTGTCGGACTCATTGGATCTCTTAATAATTGGTAAGGATCCGTTATTCACGATTACTTTGTAATTTTGAATATTAATGGTTACTCTTTAATTTAAAGGGGGATCTTATGGAAAGGGGAAGCGTGCAAACATGGTTGGAACGTTCATGTGTGGCTTGCGTGTACCGACTGAAGATGGGACGCCCAAGTAAGAGCTTTATAACTGTTTGTCTCGTTACAAATCTGTCCAGTTATGAAATTGAACGTTTACATGTCTATTTCATGCAGATTCCAAGCTTTTTGCAGAGTTGGCTCGGGATTTACTCTAGTTCAGCAAAAAGAATTCCAGTAAGGCTATTGAAGCACATTGACGTTTTTTGATTTATGTGTGAAATGTTGTTGATAAGAATTACCAAAGTGTTCTAAATACGTAAGCTACCTAATTCTGTATGCAGCGAAGCACATAATTGGGTTCATTATGATGCAAAGAATTGCCCTAGCTGGATTACTATTGGCAAAGATAAGCCAGACGTGATTGTCCAGGTTCCAACAACGTGTGTTCTAAAGCTCTGTAGTATTAATGCGTTGATGTCGTTTGACCTACACTTACGCTGACTTTTCAACTTCACACAGTGCCAAAGTGGTTGAAGTGAGGGCAAGTGAAATAATACAAGCTACTCAATATCCCAGCTCTTTGACACTTCGATTCCCTCGCTTTATAAAAACGAGAGATGACAAAGATTGGACTATGGTTATGACTGTTGAAGGTGAATGGATATTTGATATTCTGCCACCCGCATTGATGATTACTAATTATCACTCTTTTCTGCTCGAAAAAATGAAGAAATGTACGAATTAAAAAAGATAGGACTTCAAAGACCGCCCACTTTAACCGAAGACTCTCCACCGTATGTTATTACTATTGGATATGCATATGTTGAGCAATTTTACTAACAATGCTATATAATTATTCAGGGAATCTTCCAAGAAAACAGTAGCTTTGCGTGTACGACGGTTTCCGTTTCTGTTCAATGTTAGAATGCAATGAATGTAAAGATATTTAATAACCTTTACACTTATTTAGAAACGTCAGAAGATGCTTCAGTTCACATTACAAAGCTCTATTGAAGTCGTTGATCAACCTCTTTTTGAGAATATGACATTTTGTGAGTATCTCTATCAAATCTTTTGAAGATCGCACCAGAAATCGAGTTATTTACACTGAATTGCAATGCGTCTAGATGTGTTTCGTCATGCATGCAAAACGAAGGTTGAAGAGGTCATAAGGAGGGAAGGGGGGCGTATTTTAGGGACCGCTAAAAACAATGGGGAACCATTCCATATAATTGCAATTACTCAAGGTAGGCTATCCAATTAATATTGTGTAAAAAAGACGCACGAAGTTTACTAACATAACTTGTGATCTTTAGACTTAGCTTTGAAATCTCTTGCAAACAAAGAACCGGTGGATATCATATCCTCAAGTTGGATTGCAGACTGCGTAGGAAACAGAAAACTTCTTCCACTTACACCATTGTATGTATCTTGGACCGTACGCTGGCTTTTTTTATAATGAATGTTTACCAACGCTTTCCATTATGATCTGATAGGTATTATATATATATGAAACCTGAAACCAAATTAAAAGTATATCGAGACTATGACAAATATGGAGACAGTTATACAGAGGATGTGACTCCCACAGGATTGCAAGTGGTAAGTCTGAGACTCGTTCTTCATCAAGTTTACCTTCTTGTAAGGATTACTTTGATTTGCAACTGACGGCGGTTTTTATTCAATAATTCACAGATGCTTAAACATGTCGATACGGGCTCCATTGAAGAGAATGATTTTATGTCACTCTTAAAAGACTTTGAGTATCGTTATTGTCCTGCGCAACATATTTTCAAAGATGTAGTTGCTTATATTGCCAATAACACTATGTCAGAAGATATCAAACTTCGTGAGACAATTACCGACTATAATCTGAAATATGACTGGGACAAGTGGTATAGGTGTACTAATGCGTACCACAGGTGAGATAATACGTGACCTAATTGCAAATGTCTTTCTAATATTCCTGTTACTTGTCAATTGATCCAACGAAAATATTTATCCAGGCTTAGTATAGCCGAGCGTATTCTCAAGTATTATGGTGTCCAGATTGCACCTAAACCATCGGATGCAAGAGTGACACACGTGATAATAAGCAGATTTGATACGAAAGATGTTCCGAGCATTAAAAACGATGTTGGTTCATCGTAAGTATCTGTTATTCATTTTGTGTATGACAGAAGAGACATCTAACTTGACTTGATTTTGTTTGTAGCCATTCAACTCTATGCGAGTTTGTGTACGATGATTGGGTATACGAATCCCATAAACATGGAGTTCGTCTTGACTGTAAAGGTAACTATATCTGCATGCATACCCTGCCTTTCTGACACACAAGTAGTAGTGATTAACTGTGCTTTGCATTTGCTATATAGTTTTTGATTATTTTGAAAATTTGAAAAAAGAATCTTCCGAACAGGATAATAGTGACATATGGCAATCGTTCTTTCAAGAATAATGTAATAGGCTCGCTTTTTGGATGCAATTTGCTGGTCTCGTGCAATGATATGCGTCTATCACTGCAGATGGCTCGTCAATCGTGAATTCAATATATTTAAAATAGTGCTGATTTTGCATTTTATTCATTTAGTTGTAACTATAGGCAAAATGTGTAGCAAATGCTAATTATGAAAATTCTTTTGGCTATCGTAATTACTTGACCGGTAAAATTTTTTGGAAAATGTTACCGGTTACTCTTTCTGTTGTTTTTTTCTAACCAATTAATCGAATTAGAAATAAATCCCAGATAAAGAATTCACGAAGAAATAAGAGACTTTCGACTTCGACTCCCTCGGCTTTAATAATGCTAGGAGTGATTTATTTAGCTGATGCTTAGTCTTTATAAAAAGAAATTGCTCACCACGTAGTTGTCGATCGGAAAAGCCGGATTAAATATTGACTGACTGTGATTCGTATAGAAGATTTTTTACGTGAAGATCGCGTAACATGTCAATCTATTACCTCAACTCTATTAGTTTACTTCCCACCCAAAACTGACACTCTTGAACCCTTGATCGAGCCGACCAAGCGCGCGCGTGTGCGTGGAACACGTGGAACATCTATACTGACCCTGAAAGAGAGTTAAGAGATACTCTACAATAAAGAGTATACATATTTTTAATGGAGACTAATGACAGTGCCAAATCCTTTTACCTTCTTAGTTCAAATTTTCCAGGGTCTTTTGTAACAATGTAATTTAGCATTTTTGCAATCTTTTGATCGCCTTAGCATCGTACCCCTGTTACTTCTCCGTAGTCTAAATTTTCTTCTTCAATATCAAACACAGTACCGTAATCGAGCAAGTGTAAATATTCTATTAGGAATATGCATAATTTCCCTTTGCTAGACACTGCATACTGTCAATTGTTTGGGTATCCTAAATTGCAAATGGCTTGTGGGGCCTTTCCTCTATCATAGCCACAACAGAAGTTTTGAGTCCATTCCATTGCAGTTGTGAGACTCTATTGAGCAATAGATACGCGTCAACGACATTTATATCTCATTATTATTGTACAACGTATTATTCCGCCCGGATTTTTTGTGAATTGATCCGAACACCAGCCCTGCTTTTTGAGAATATCTCTCATGTAGAATCAAATTATTAAAAATAGATTCTCCTGAAGCAACTCCTATTTCGCAAATACTGTAATCGGAATAGATATAGGGTTTCAATAGACACTATTGTCTACTGAATTCTTTACCAGAAACCGACCCCAAAAGGCCACATCAATTAGCGAAACCATCCACTTTCAATAAACATCATAAAATATCTCTCGTTTGTTCTGTGTATTCCAATTTGATATTATGGCAATGACTATTAAGACAAATTTTAATCCACGAAATTTACTAATAAGCCAATATGTCTTAATAGAGCACAACATATTGTTTTGCAAATTAACAATAGCTGTTCGAGTGACGAACAAAACATAATTAGGCTATTAACATAGCATCTGGTGGCACTAATTAACACCCGTACTTGTTGATCTGAGGGATCCCCACGTATTTTATTTGCATCGGACGATTTTTGTAAAATTTTCCGTAATCTCTCCTCTACATAAAAAAAAGTTCCTCCGTTAATCACCGACACTCATACGATCTGTTTACTTGCTGATAATATAAAGTCGGGCTTCTGGTCGTATTGATCCGTTGGGATTATTCCGTCGTTGAGTACTTGCACATCTAATGCCAATGCAACTTGAAAACCAAAAATTGTAAAAGGTTTGTATCACCACAACAATAATCCCTATACAACGCCTGGGTAGTTACCTGTTTTTGGTAGTGTACTACGGATCTTTGTTTTATATTTTGCCAAATACCTGTCATAGAATCTATCGCACACACGGTATAAAAGTCAGATGAGGCGAATCCCAAAAAAAAAGTGTACTCATGCACATCATACATACCCTTTACCATGCCCTAACCTATTTTTCTTGTGATCAAATGCTAATCCTAGTAAATTTATCCTTAGTCTGGTTTCAAGAAAAACGAATATTTCTCTAATTACAGTTAATAGATAGAATACCTGGCATTATGATCATATCCAATTCGTTTGCTGATAAAAAAGAACAACATAAGGTTTAAAATTCACGCCGGATTCCTTTCCTTGAATCAAATGTGTGCTTACCGATTATTCGTTCTTCATCTAACCCGGGTTCGGGTATACCCCAATGATTGAGTGGAAGTGACAAATAATCATCATACGATACTAGTTTGACCATATCCATAATACCAGTCTGAGGGTTACACCTTGGAACATAACAAGATTTTCCTAATTACTAGGTTGACATAACGGCGATTTAATATTGTTGATAATTCACATTGAATATTTTAAGCGCCAACATACTTACCTTGCTCAAGAGCATCTTTTATAAGATCTCTGGTATTGATTTCACCTTTTGGAAGACTGGTGTATATACTAATATTGCTGGACATTTGGTATTCAGGTATAGAGAATATTATATCTGTCACTATCTTACCTATTGTTTTTCAGTGAATGATATATTAACGATATAAACTAATAAACGCAGAGTTCGAGAAGGCTTACTTTCTCGGCGGACAGTCTCTGCAGGCAAATCACTTAGTATTTTACGCATTTCTTGGCGTAAAACCGTCTTTAACGCCGTTGCCGTTGCAGAAGACATGGTTAAAATTTTCAGTTAAATATTTTGTGTACCATCAACATACCGATCAAATAACTAAACATCCAATAGTACTTTGTCATACCCAATGACCACTATAATTGATTCTTTTTCATTCCTGTCCGCAACACTTATGGCCATCATGAATTCGCTCCCTCCTTTAATCCTTCGCGAGATCTTCGAACACCTATCACACGATTTTCCAGTAGGACGTTGTACCCTTCGATCGCTCCTAAGAATAAACAGAGACTGGCGAGACATTGCAATTCCCGTATTCTGGCAAAGACCATTCGACAGATATCCCGATTGCTCTATAGTCAATACTCTAACCTTGCATCTCAATGAAGAGGAGCGCAGATTAATCTCGCTCCTGCTTCCACCCAATCTTGATTTTAAAATATCCTATGCTCGTCACCTGCGAGAACTTGATTTCGATACTCTGTGCCGATCCATTGACTTATGGCTTGTTAAAACAAAGCATATCTGGCGTCGTAGATTGAGTTGTGAGGAGGCAGATGGTAGAGTCGCGAGTTTTCAAAGTCTACTAGAGGTAAAACAGCAGATTGTATATTCATTCTTGAAAATGTTTGTGAGACATGGTGTTAGATTACGAATGCTCCTATGCGATTTCCGAGGAGTTGGTCTAACGGAGGATGATTTTCAGTTAATGTTTAAACCTGATGTGCAGACATTGGCTTCTACTATTTGTGAGGTTAGGATAGCAGGGTCAACTAATATGGGAAAGCTATTTGATGGACTGACGAACACTGCGAGGGATTTGGTTGGTTGATTATAATTTTTTGTGAATTTTTTTTTTTGGTAATCTGAATAGACGCCAACACTAACTAAAAATTGGCTTTCAATTAATATATACGATAACAACGATGATGAAATGACCGTTACTATTACTGCTACTCTACTACTGCTCCTATTACTCCTCCTCCACACTACTATCATTTCCAATTCCCAAGGAGTTGATAGAGATCTTTATCCGTTCATATAATGAGCCAAATGGCATAAGTCGACAGGCAGACAGTCTAAGTGCTTTCATCCGAGCACAACATGGTCTGATATCTCTAAAATTAGCACTACAACTGTCTGCAAGTGATGTCACATGTATACTTGAAAGTATCGAAAGCCAACACGATACGCTTCGTCACCTTTACATCGCATCTGTAAATTTCTTTGGTGTCATTCCATTGAGCATGGTAACCAAGTGTTACCAGCTAAGGACGATAACCTTCAGTAACTGTAAATCACTTACTACTAATATAGCTGAACCATTAATTTCAACAACTTTTCCACATCTGAAGAAAGTCAATCTACGGACTTCCAGTTGTCGAGAGTTAAGAGATTGGGCGAATATAGTCAATAGTAAATCATAATAATAGATGATTATAGAGTACGTAAAGCTTATAGATTAATAATATTGCATTAAAGCTGAGAACAAAAAAAAGAGAGTAGAAATAGAAACGGCATAAACCTGTAAGGATAATTTAATTAGTAAAATAAAGTTATTATATAATATTTTGCAAACAAACCCACTAGCATAAAATGATGTGACAGTATTTGTAACATAACCGCTGCAATACTTTTCTTTCCTACAAGCCGGATGTTAAACACGTCGAGACTAGGAAAAGACACCTGGATATCACACATGTGTATGTGAGATTAGATATTCAATACTACCAGAATGGCACACACAAAATGAGTATTATAGTAATACTTTACAGAAACCTGTAGTTTTTATAAATCTCTCTGTGACATCATGACGAGATGTTTGCAATATTTTCTGATTGTAAATGTCACATGGTTCTCAGCACAACATCCTGCAAATCTCATCGGGACATTTGCATATTTCTGTAAAGTAGTTGAAAGGAAGAAAATGGCTGAGAATCAAATAGTTGGTGACATGTCTAAAAAATGATAAATTTGCAGTTGTCTTCAACTCTTTTCGTCTTTAATTGGCATACTTATTATAAGGAAGTGCTTTTGTTATAGCTATTAGTACTAGTAGAACTTCTGAACAGTGTTATATGTTAAATTGTCTATTTGTGTGTTGACCAAACAAATTTACCGAATAGTGTAATTCTATATACGAGACAGTTCTTTAAGATCGCCTTGGTTACGTTGACACAAATATTCCCAGTGTGTTTATTTACATACTTCTTTATTTCGTCTTCTACTGAGATGGTAATTTTTTATAGAAACTAGAGCTTGTTTATTGACATAGAAGCTTGTTTTAATTACATACAAATGCTGTAGTATCTCCTTGCAGTGTCTCATATGGACATGACGTTGAAAAGCTAAGCCGATGTTTCTGACCCCAAGTTAAAATTGACCCATTCCGAAGTGCTGTAATCACGTATTACCACGATAAGTTGATCTGAAAATTAAGGGACGCGCGAAGGTGGTATTTGCTAGTTAGTGAATTTCAGCTACCTGTTCTAAATTAGCGTCTTAATTACCCTGTCAATTGTCCCGTTACTACACCATTGCTCATATTTCTGTTAGGGCGACCGATTTAATGAGCATTGTTGCCATTAGAAATATGCTGTTAATTAGGCCTAATAGTATTCTTATAGTAGTATGCGTAGACGTATGACTCACTGTTTATTGCAAAATTTGTTTCCGCGCAAGGTTATCGTGCTAAGAGTGCCTGTATTGTGCGTGCATAAGAGCAAGCCACCAAGACGCAATATTCAGCGATATAAACTGCAGTTGTCAAAAACCTTTGTTGAGAAAGAGAATTGTATGGTGAATAGTTATTAACACACATATTCGATGATAAGAATGATGTGTAACAGAACGCTTACTATTACCTTGTCCTGAGTAAATGTGCGATGTAACACAATAAGTATTAAATAAAATATCCACCAACTTGAAAATTTTTATTCAAACCATGTCGTTAGCATCAGGGACTGTTAATAATCCAACAATTAACAACTTGGTTCAATCCTCCTTGGAAAGTGAAGATAAATACTTACGACTTGAATGGATTCCTTACGAGGAAATCACCAACATAAAACAAACTCAAATTGACAACGTCTACTATGCTATTCGCAAGCAAATTAAATATAATTATATGACATATAATTATACGATAACATTGGTGTTGCTTGGAAGCGATGAAACCTGTACGCCAATACTTGTTAGTGAGTTTGCTAGAATATACTCACTTCCAACACACAAGTACAATAATGATGTCAGTCAATTTAGACGATATAAGAA